CTTCCAACCCAAACCAGTCTGTGATTCTATCCTTGGGTCTCTTCTCTTGACAGCCGAAGCCGAAGCCACCCCGCAAGCCTCTCCCAGCACTGAAGAGCAAGACACCCTGCTGTGGCGAGAGGCCACCAGGAGCAGCCCTCTCACCATCCCCTCCCTCGGTCTTTCAGCGGGGCATCCCCCCAAAGGTGGCCCTGAAGCCCCCCGTGGCCAGGAGGTGACCAAGGATGCTCCATCTGCCACCGCAGCCGAGTTGCTCAGTGGCACAGCGGGGAGCTGCCATCTCGCTTCCATCCTTACTTGAATCCCTCTCCAAACCCTCCCCAGGAGGGCACTAGTGTTTACAGATACTTGAGTTGTGCCTTAACAGACATCATAGCCCCATGGCTGGCCCAGGGAGAGCCATCAGCTCGGGCTTCCCGAGGACACCAGGAGCAGGGACAATGCCAGCGCTGGTTCCGAGGCTCTCCTGCGCCCTGGGAGCTGCTGCCTTCTCTCCCGACATCCTGAATGTGTCCTGCTCCTCCTGCCCCTTCCCTCTGCACCATGCCCACTAAGCCCCACGGCCACTGCCCCAACTGGGGACAGTCACACTGGGGTTTGCGTTGTGGCAGGTCCAAGCCAGGATGGGGCTTCCCCACAGGGTTTTTATCTCTGCACTTACCACTTGAGTTACTGTTCCGAAAGGGAATATCCTGGGAGCCTTTTTACTGCAGCCGTTAACTTATGACCCTGATGTGACCATTTTGTTGTGAAAGCTCCCCGTTTTTTACATGATTTCAGTTTGAAGGCTTTTATACCAATAAAGACTGAAGTATCATGGGGTGTCTCTCAGCAGGAGGGTGGCAGCCGGGGCTCAGGGGGGAGAAGGGCTTGAGTTGAGCTCCGAAAGCCTGTGCCAGAGCCCTGGGGGCTCATCTGCCAAACCAGGCCCTTGACTTGTTGTGTGAACAAAGGCTTGGCCACGACGACTGCAGTTCAGCTCCCACCATCCCATTCCAAGACAAGCATCCATACTTGCAGCAACATTGGTGCTCAGGGACCAGCCCACCGTCCCCAAGGACATCACAGCACCCAGCAGCCAGGAAACACTCCCCACAGGCCATATACAAGCAATGGAGCAGCTCAGGGGCCACGTGCCAGCAGGACTCAGCTCCCAGCACAAGCTTCAGAGGACGAAGCCCTGTTCTGTTCCTGCTATTAAGTGCTGCCCTGTCTGCTCAGCATCATCCTGCACTATTACTGCAGGGACAGAGGCACGGATGTCCCCCATCCCCATGCCTACAGAGAAACCAGACCTAGGATGCATAAAGCCACCAAGGAAACTGTAACAAAATAGTTTTATTCTGCTTTATCAAAAGAACTTAATACTGTGCATGTAAACTTGAACATATGGATCTTGTTTTGAAGGTCCCTTCCAACCCAAGCCATGCATGATTCCATGTTTCCTTAAAGAAGGTGTGGATCCAGTGGCAGACCCCTTTACTCACAGAACCACACAGGCCTTTTGAACAGAGAGAAAAAACAGTTCAATCCCACGTTCCTGGTGGCACCAGGAGCATCCCCGGTATCCCTCAGAGCACAGGGACAGGAGGCAGCTGCTACGCACCCAACCAGAGCAGGGTAACAATTAGCCAGCGACGGCCACGAATGCACCTGAAAGACAGTAGGGGGGGCAAGCGAGGCTCAGATCCAAAGGGAAGCAGCCCTTCCTGCGCAGGCCTGGAAGGCTTTCCTGCTCCCTGCATTGGGGAATCTCACTCTGACCACTACAGGACAACTGTGGGCTGCCTGGTGACTGCTTCTACTGGTACCCATGTGCCCTGTCTCGTCACCTCCAGGCTGGCAGAACCTACCCCTGTCCACCCAGTCTGATGTCAAGGGTGTAATGCCCAACCTTGTGAGCGCATGGAGACACGTCTATGCCTCCTCCAGGAGCGCTTCTGTTCTATAAAGCCTGCCTTTGTCCCAAAATTCAATCATAGTGGCTGCTGTGGGGTGAGGAGAGGATGTGTTCCTGCTGCAAGCCAGCAACACTGAAGAGGTAGAGGGTCAAAGAGATGTGACTCCACTGGCCCCTTGAAGCCCTTCCCACAGGAGAAAAGGGACCTTGCAAGTCAAACAGTACTTCCAGGAGACAGTTCAAACACCACGGTTACAAAATACACTGCCACCCCCCTTCTGTCCTGGCCCCTTCCCTGGGGAGGGCACTGCAGGGTCAACTGAGGCTCATGCTGTGCCTGCCTGCTCCTCTCCCGCCATCAGTCAAGGGTTTCAGCTCTGTCCTGCCATGCTGCCTTCCAGCATGACATGAAGACATCCCTCCTGCTCCTCTGCCCACCAGTATCCTTCAAAGGCTGCTCTTCACCAGGAGGAGCTTTTGGCAGGTGAAGGAATGAGCCCCACCATGCAAAAGCTCAGCTCAGTGCTCCCCAGACTGGGATCTGCATGGCACATGGCTGTGCCACCAACCCTAGTGCACGAGGGAGACTGGAGACACCTCTCCTTCTGGCAACAGCAGCATCCTCCTTCTCATCCTCAGAGTACACACATGCACAGCCTCCCACGAAGCCAGGCTTGGTGCTCAGCACCTTAAGTTGGCTTCCTACTGGGTCAAGGACCTGGTCCCTGGCTCCTGCCATGGCTGGGTTTGAAGAGCAATTGGTGTCCTGGAGCAGATTAGCAACTGGGCCTTGGGTTTGCAGACAGGAGGAAAGAAACACTACTGAAACTGCTGCAAAGTCCCACAGTCATATATTACTGTTACCCAAGCTGGCCTGCAGGAGAGGCAGGGTCAATGTATCCCTGCTCGGCCCCAGAGATGCAGGACAGGCAGCCAGTAAAGGAGCTGAGACAGCATAAGGCACCATATGTAACCAAACCTCCTTGAGGAGAGACACTGCCAACCTCCGAGTCAAGCCACACAGGATAGGAAAGCAGCACTGGAAAGCCTGAAGCCCACACAACTCACTTGGGGAAATCACTAGCAGAGGTGAAATTCAGGCTGCTTTGGGTTGAATGTTTCACCAAGGCAAAAGCTAGGCATGTTCCTCCCCTTGTCACAAGGCTGCAGATGGTGCCAGCGCAGATCTAAACACCAGCACCAACCAGCCCATCTGAGGGGGCACTCAAGGGGACAGGAAAGCAGGATGAAGATACAGCTATCCCAGGCTGAGGAGAAAAGGTAGTCTCTGAACAAGTGGTGGGTCCAGAGGCAGGCAATGCTGTGGTGCTACCAGCTGGGGAACGGCATTCCAGCTCAAGCTCCTGCCAGTTGGCTTCCCCAGCCACCGTCTTCTGGGATCATCGCAGAATACAATGAGAAACAGGTCCTAGAAACAAGCACATCCTCACAGGCAAAAGGAAGGACAAAGGAAAAGAGGAAAGCAGATTGTACCAGCAGATTTACCCCCCAAGCATGCCTCTTTCTCCCACGCTGCAGTGGCACACAGGGAGCAGCGGTTGGATATATTACAACACACACCAGGAGGTAAGATCATGAGCCAGCATGGCTTGTGAGACAAAAGCCCCAGCAAAGCCTGGTCAGTGATGAGAGGACCAGTGACACAGTCCCAACTGTGGCTGTTGAAAGACACATGAGGCAGGTCGTACTTCTTCTTGGGAGCAGTGGATTTTGCACTGGGGAACAATGATGCCTCACCTACTTCGCAGTTGAGGTGTCACACATCTGATCTGCTGCAGAATGGGGTCCCATCACTCTTTTCCTCTTCACTTTACCAGCGAGGCAGAGCAGTGGAAATTCAGCCCCCTTTCCCTGGGGGAAAGACCTACAGGGAGGCTGGGGCCTAAGCAAAGATTTCCCAGCTCTGTTCCCAAACAGCTCCTTGGAGGTGCTCCATGCACTCTGAAATCTGGTTTACGATGCAAGGTGAGACCCAGCCACCCAGCTGAAACAGTCAGTCACAGGCAGCCAGCAGGAGGCTGTTGCTTGGAGAGGGGAGTTACAGAAGCCTGTTAGGGATTGCTTGCTCCAAGTTGTTATCTAATGCCACTGCCTACAGGAAAGAATATAATGGCTATGCATATCCTATTCAAATAACCTATTCCACACCAAACCATTTCTTGTCAGGCCAGGCCTTGGCCTGAGCAGCAACACAGAGAGCCAAGGAGAACCCATTCCACTGGAGTCCTTGAGGAGAGTTAGAGAGCGCCGGAAGAAACCTGCCTCAGAGTCCACACAACAAAGCTTCACTGGCAGGATGAAAGAAACCTCTTCACTTGGCCTCAGTGAGGAGCACTAGGGAATGCCCAGCGTGTGGCAGCACAGCACTCAGAGCCACATCTCCTACCTCCAGAGTAATGCTCGCTAAATAACTGCACCTACTGCAGGGAAGGCTTTCCTGGTGTCTGTCTTTTAATATTCCAGTATAGGTATGTTAGTACAGGATTATCCCTCATTTGGAAGCACCAATTTAATAGGGGAAGAAACGGAAGAGGCAGAGCACTTGCAAATGTGTTGCTAGAAGAAAATCAACCCAACTGCCACCTATACACAAGATGTCCACGCTGCATCTGCCCCAGTAGCACAGGGCAACATCCCCATTCATAGCCAGGCTAGTTGTTGAGCTATACCAGGTATCCTTCTACCTCTGTCAGCCAGTGCTTTCCTTTGTTCTGAGGTGGTTTTCTCCAGAGGTCTCTGGGGCCTCCTGTGAAGGAAGGTTGGTTTCTTGGGCAGTCCTCAGATTGGCTTGCTGGAAGGCACAGGAATCCAGAAACACGTTGGGGATGCGGTCACCAAAATACAGCTTGCTGTTGGCAGCTATTGCTTCATATTTCATTAGTTCCAGATACTCAGGGGTAAGTTTTAGCTACAAAAAGAGAAACCAGAGCTTGTAAGAGACAACCTTCTGGGCCCCACGTCATTAGATTTCTTCTGAGGCAGCTGCTTCCTGGGTTGTTAAACCAAGTGCTTCTTCGGTGCAGCCCACCTGAACCTAATCACCTGTGCAGAGGGAAGGAGTAAACAAGTCCTCTCCTGACCAGCTTTCAAGTGCTCACCTTGTTGGAATCAGCCAGCTTCCAAGCAGCATAGAACTCTGCATCAGCTTTTGCTTTCTCTCTTGCTAGGAATGCAGCATCTAACACAGCAACAGACAGGAAAAGAATCATTAGCAAGCGAGTAGCCCCATCATATGAGCACCTGAGCCTTTGTCACATGGGGACAGCCACTGCCTGGCTGGCCTTGTACTTGCACTGCCAGCTTCTTGGAGAGGTACCTGCAAGGGGGAGGAATGACCCCAGTGCATAACCTCGTGCTATTGCACCCTTTATTATTTCTGCAGGATGGTGATGCGTATGAGCCCAGCTCTGAGGTTCCTCTACTTGCCACCACCCTTTTGCTGGAAGATGACCCCAGAAGCACAGTTACCTTCAATCTCAGAAATCCGCTTTTCTGTTTCCTTCTCCATAATCTTCTGTTGATAGTGAATCCTGGCCACCTGAGCAGCCTTCTCTGCCTCTGCAATCACAACAGGCTCAGCTCAGACATTCACTTCTCAGGACTTGAGCATGAGCACCCTGACCTCAGCACCTGGTTGCAGGATGTGCCACACCAGCAGTTTGCTCTCTGCTGCTTCCTTTTCTGCTCAGATCCTACAGTGTCAGTTTGTGCTCCAAGCAATACAGTTACAGGAAGAAAACACAGTGCTGATGTTTCTAGAGTTGCACTGGCTGACATCCCTTTTACAAGTGTGACACAGGGACATTTAGTTTCAAGCCCAAGCAGTTTTTCTGGCAGAGCTGTTATCTCTTGGCCTGCTGTAGCAGGAGCCCTGCTGTGGGACAGAGGTGTTTGCTGCTATGGGGAGGGAGGTAAGACACACATACAGCAGCACAAACACTTGTATTTTCTGAATGACTGTTGGTGCAGCCTGGCTGAGCCTCCTTCAGGGAGCTGTCAGCAATGGAAGACAATGTCCTACCCTGGCTTCCTGGGGAACGTAGGAATGGAAATTTAGTGTGGCCCCTGTCCACTAGTACTCCCAACTGGTGACATACCAATGAGCGCTTTCTTCCGGTCTGTCTCTGCCTCTTTCTCTACTACCTTCTGCTTCTGGGCTGCAATCAGCAGCTTGGTCTTCTCAGCCTCCCTGCAGGGTGAGAAACAGGGAAACAGGGCTGGTGAGCAGCTCTGCAAACCAAGGCATGAGAGAGGAACAAGAAGTCAACTAGTTGCCAGCATCATGTCCTCACAGTCATGAGGACTAGTTCTGTCTTCAGCTGTATGAGTCAATGTGTAGCCAGAAGGACAAAGGAAGTGATTATCCCCCCCTCTCTATTTGGCACTGGTGAGGCCACAGCTGGATGCTATATACAATCACAACTGGATGTTATATCCAGTTTGAGGCCCTCAGGATGAGAAGCAAGTCCACTGCAGGGCAACTGTAGATATGGGATGGAGGCCAGGACATATGAGGAGAGGCTGCAGGAACTGGGATGGAGATGAGGAGATGAAGTGGGATCCAACCACCTCTCCTCCTGCCCAAAGCGGTCCCTGGAGGCACTAGGGCTGGACTCTGCTCAGAAGGGCACTGTTAGAGCCTCAGAGGCACCAGCCAAGCTGCAGCACAGGAAACACCAGGCAGCCCAGGGGAACAGCCCATCCCCGTGCAAGCCTGAGCAGCTGGGAATCTCCATCCCCAGGAATGTCCTGACTTGCCTGGACATGGGCCCCCAGTGACTGGCTGCAGCTGAGGGACTGGTCCTGCTTTGGGAAAGGACTTGGATGAGAGATGTCCATGGGAATGTCTCAGAGTAAAATCTGGCAGCAATTCTGTGAGTTTGCTGGAGGGGACCTTATGGACATCAAGACCTCTGAGCTCTGTTTATGAGTCTTCTACAAGTTCTCTATAGCACATCATACCTACATAAAGGAAGAGGAACATAGGCCTGATATGGTCTCTGTAGATGCTAACAACCACCTTTGTGAAGGGCTGAGAGGCTTCCAGGTGAAAGAGCTATGGAAATGGAGAAACCAAATGGGAAGGGCACCTAGCCAAGCACTCACTAACCCCACCTCTCACCTTCTGAGCACCAGGTAAGAGCTTTCTAATAGGATTATTATGCCTATGATGAACCCTGAAAACCAATCCATACAATTTTATGTACAGGTACTCACATGAGCTCAAAATTTCTTCGGATGGCTTCTGGAATTTTGGGTTTTGTAACACGCACAGCCTATTGAAAACAGAAAAAGGGAGTGCATTTGAAATGAAACCTTTTGATGGCAGCTGCATAACTGAAGAATGTCTTTGCAAAACCAGCTGTTGTGCTCTAGACATCTCCACACGGATCCAAGACCACACATAATGGTTCCCAATCCTCTTGTACAACACAGATGAGCACAGCTGCTTCTCAGAGAGTTCACATTTCCTGCCTTTGCACATCTTATGGTAAACTTTTGTATGAAATCTTGCTGCAACCAAGTACAAGTTAACTTGGGTGTTTGGAAGAGCTGTGGGATCGCAACTTCTTTATGATACACCACTGCCTGTGGTTCACCCTCATCAAACCAGAGCAAGCCTATGCACAACTGAGCCCCAAAGCAGAACGGTATCTATTGTAGCATCACCCACACTATCAACAGGAGGTTTCCCCTCCCTGCATGCAGCCAGCCAGCCTAGCTAAATGTGGCAACAAGAACAGCAAAACAGTCTCACATTTCTCCTCAGAGGCAATCTGGAGATTTCCATCTCAGCCTTTGCATACCTAGGGCACATTTTTCTCAGGTGGTTGCCCTGAACTCCAAGACGCCAAAAAGCCAGTATGCCCCATAGCCTGGCTAAGATTAAACATGATTTTCTAACACTAAGTGTAAGCAGAAAATCACTCTGGATATAATACCTTTCCCCATCTCTGGCATAAGTACAGAAAAGATGGAAGACCTCTTTCTTTTTCAATGACCTGTAGGAACTGTGCTGGCACACTGGAGCACCCAGCTCTGCAGGGGTGTCAAACATACCTTAAAGAAAGACATTTTCTGGCTCTGCAAATTAATTCCAATACCTGCAGGTCTGTGGCCTAAAAGGTCCTTTTCTAAATCCTGCAGGTCTTCCCTTAATGTAATCTCAATGTTTAAAAGTGGTAACTGTCATTTGGACAGTCTCCAACTGATAAACCTCAACTCAAGGTTCAACAGTTTCAGGTGATGTGGACAATGGAAGCAAGAAGCCTCACCAATCTAGTGAAAGATGAACAAATTAGAGGGGGAAATAGAACAGTCTTTGTTAGGGAATGAACCTACCTGGATAGTGAGACCCGGTGCCATGACATTGAGATCCTTCTGCAGGGCCAGCTTCAGATTCTCATCTATCTGATCTGTGTTTGGAGGAAAAGAGAGACTGCTTAGCTTACCATCTATTCTCCTACAGCTTGTGTGGCAGAGAGTCAGCTGCCCCTGAAGAGCACGTATCTCTATGGTGTAAGCTTTTTAGTATCACTGAGTACATTGTTTCCCTTCCTATATCCCCTGGAAAATGTTCCCAAAAGAAGAGCCACGCTCTAGAAAGGTTTGTCTGTTGATGAACTCATGGTACCTGACCTAAGAGCAAATGTTTTTTAGTTTCTCAGGAAGAAAAAGCACCCACAGCCCGTGGCAGAAGTCTATCCCTTCCTAGCCAGAGCCACACCAACCCTGCTGTCAGTGGCCAACTCTGCCCCAAGTATCTGGTGAACCTGCAGGACCCAGTACCTGCTACTAAAGAAAAAAGGCATTTTGTTACTACCAAGCTCCAGGAAGATCTTTCCACAGAAATGGCCAGTTATGGAATGATTAAGCTGCATGTAATAACAGGAAACTCCTCTCTGACCACAGCTATTTGTTAAGTCTGAGCAGAGCTTCCAAAGATTTAGTCTCTTAATATTAGTTAAACTCTGCTAACTTTTTATCTTCCATAAACCCATTTTCCCGTGCTCTGCCACTCAAGAATATACTCGATAATACTGTTCCATCTTCGGGGGCACAGGTAGGTACCAAGAAGCAGAACACTGGATTTGCTCATTCCTGAACCACTGCTACCCCTTTTGAAAAAAAACAGAGCATTGCAGCAAACTGAGGTCATGTCCCTTCTGGGTCTCACTTGCTAGAAACAGCCATAAAGAAGCTTTTAAAATAAAATTCAATCCAGAAACAGAACAGGAGCCTAAAAGTAGAAGTAGACATGACAAAACCATCATCATAGTGAAGACAAATAACACGACTGCACACACAAAAGCAGGGGGGCTACTTTGCACATCCAGAATTCAGGCCTAAGTGGAAAAGGACTGAAATCAAACTCCTATGTGCAGATGTGAAAAGACAAAGAAATCTGTATCATTGAAGAGTAAAGCTACAAAGGACGCAGCACATGGATATACTGCAGCTCTAGCACAGTGGCTGTTTGCTCACAGGAGCCTGCTCTAACATATTCCCTGGAAGACCAGGGAGATCACACAGCCCGTGATAGGTACATCCAGTTGCCATCCACTTACCAAACAGCTGAATGTATACTTCCTGGAGAGTATGGGCACTGCAGAACTGATTCAGCTCATGATGAATTTTATTGAAGATCAAGGTCTTATCGTAGTCTGCAGTGTAGTTTCTCACAATATCATACACTGAGGAAGTAAGAGAATTATCACAGGTCACCACCAACATGTATCACTTTCTGCAATGCCACCACTGCAAACAACAGCTCAGAACACTAGGAAAGTAGTGCAGCACTGTGACAGGTTTCGGGGGAGTTTTCAGGATGTGGCTGCACAAAGCCAAGTCCTGGGCTGCCCTGCCCAGTGTTAGTGAGAAGCCTGGGAGGGAGGTCAGAGGAGATACCTGCAGAGGTCCCCTCCACCAGTGCTGCTGGGATCGTATGACTTCAAAGAGCAGAGTAATCACAGCATGATATACTGCATGGTCCTGGTTTATGATCTGCATTAGTGAAACAATAAAGCCTATCCAGGACCTGCACGCATAGGAACAGATACTACTACTGAGTCAAAACAAGTATCATTCAACAATTATAGAATCACAGAACCACAGACTGGTTTGGGTTGGAAGGGACATTTAAGCTCATCCACTTCCAAGCCCCTGCCATGGGCAGGGACACCTTCCACTAGAGCAGGTTGCTCCAAGCCCCTGCGTCCAACGTGGCCTTGAACACTGCCAGGGAGGGGGCAGCCACAGCTTCTCTGGGCACCCTGTGCCAGTGCCTCAGCACCCTCACAGGGAAGAACTTCTGCCTAAGATCTAACATGAATTATTATAACATGACTTATAACATGAATTCACCCCTTGATGCCTCAGTAGTGCTAGCATTTTGCATTAAACTATGCTGCCGAAAAACCCCAAGCTATGTGGGTCTGTTGTCCAGCAGCTGGTGAAGTAAGAATGCAAGAGTCTCCTAGGTGGGCTCTGCCTTTGTGATGTCCCAGGAGCTGAGCTGGCAAGCATGTGGGGAATTTATCCCTTGTGTTAAGGGGCAGTCTCCCCTTCAGCAGCAAGAAATAGGATTGCATGAGCACCCATCACATTTCTAACCATACAGGGGAGGAGCAAGCCTAGAATTTACCTTCATCTTTGCACACCTGGGGCTTGCAGACACATGCATGAAACTAAATGCTATGGTTCCTGGAACCAGAAGGATAGCAAGACAGAAGGAAGTCTTGCAAACCAAGACAGAATTGCTCGGGGATGGGTGAAGACAGTCACAGTGCTGCTTGTTGAAACAGGATGGGAAATACCTGCGTATGGTGCCAATTTATTCACAACTTCTATTCGGTCAATGTAAATCATAACACCACCACTGGAAGTAAGAAAGAGAATTCAGTCATTATTACTGCAACTGTTAACAGTGGTCCATATTTAAAGCAGATTTAAATCCCTCTTTTACTAAGTTCTACTAAACTTTCCCGGGACAATTCTGACTTCGGAGCATTTTGCAATTAGATGGCAGCAAACCCCAGCTTTGTCCAGACTGGTCCCTCTCTCCCCATAAATCACAACCACGCTGCAAGCAAGTCTGCAAAGCACTTTGGCTTCACTTTGTTAACTCCTGCCTAGCCAGTGAAAGGAAAATGTTTTTGAACAGGACTGTAGCTGCAGCTCTCAGAAAGGGGGAACCCAACACAATGAAGGGAAGGCAACAAGGCCAGCAGATGACACCTGCAAGCAGCCTAGCAGACAAAGTGCAGATGTAGCCCTTCTAGGCAGCAAATACATTTTAAAGAGAAAAGCCCTTAGTTCAAGTTCATGCATTTACTAACTCCAGCAGGAACTTGACAAGGCCCCTGCTAGAAAGGAAGAAACAAAGCATGTAGCAGACTTTAATTCACATTCCCTGCTTCAATGTCACGTTGTGAATGGCTGTCCAAGAACACCCTCACCACGCACGTGTGCTGAGACACGTGCCCTGCCAAGAAGCTCCAGACATCTCATTGGAAGGAGCCTGCAGGCACAATCCTCCCTCCAAGAGATCATGCCCACCTCAGCACAAGTGGATTTCTTTTAGTGTAGTGCGTAGCAGCTACTGAGACAGAGGAATACATAAGGAAAGGTGGGAAGGCAACAGACACCTCCATATATCTGATGGAGGACCATGGGAACAGCTAAGGGTGTTTGGGCAGAAAGCAAGCTTTGTCTACTTCGGCTACTTCTTCTGAGGTACACTTAGGGACACGGTTTAGTGGCGGACTTGGCAATGTTGGGGTAATGGTTGGACTTGGTGACCATAAAGATCTTTTCCAGCCTAAGGAGTCTATGATTCTATGTACTGCTGTACCAGCAGAGAAAAAAGGGAATGAGGCAGGGCTTGGTCCTTGCTTCTGCCCTTACAGATGTGGCTTTCAGGTCATGTCGACCCGTGGGTACCTGTGACACTGGAGAAAAGCACAAACTCTACAGTGAATTAAAACCCCCTAACTTTCAAGCAGTTCCTATGTCTCTCAGAGCATATTTGTAAAGCACAATACTCTTGCAATTCCATCCTTGGGAGAAAGACAAGTCACAAATGAGAAGCTTTAGCAGAAACTGTTCAGCAACAGCTCATCCCCAGAAGTGGACCTCCTACATTTCCAAACTTGAAATCCCTGTGGTGTTTCAAGTCAAGTGTGTCCCCCATGACACACTCAGTTTCTTATTCTGCAGATCTTATGTCTCTGGCAGTTGAAAGTCAAGTACAGAAAAATCACCTGAACTTGCCCCTGTCCATGTTCATTCAGAGAAAGTCCCCCAGGCACAGCCTGTGTTTGCAAACCTGCTTGCTCCATGTCAAGCTGTGAGCTAAATATACTGGTGATGGACTGAACTTGTCTGCTGGAAGAGACAAGCCAGCAAAAAAAGATACTTGTGGCTAAAGAGAGGCTTATTTCCCAGTGAAATACTACTATTAAGAGCATGAATCTCTTTTTCACTGAAGATTTCTCTTTGGACCATGGTCATTCTTGCAGGCTCTACTTTAAGAACTGTTTCTATTAAATAAGACAGGGTTATGGATCCTTTACAGGTATGTCAGCCTGTACCAGCAGTTATAAGGGTATGGTATGTGTTTTTCTCCACATCAGCTGTTCTGCACTTTAACTGTGCCACCACATTCAATAAAGTGATTATTTATCATCACAGGTGATGTCCAACAGCATTCCTCAGCATCTTCTGAACCTGCTCTCATCTTCCTGATTTGTTCCAGCCACCTTAAAACACCCCCAGCACAGGGAAACCCAGCTACCATCTCACGGTAACTTCCAGATATCTTGGTGAGAAACCAAAGCAGAACATGTGGGCTTCTTTCACCAGAATCATGTCCACTCCACGCCTTTATGTTGGGATCCTTTTGGGATTCCAATTTTATGGGGATGTTAGAAGGAAAAAGAGCATCTGAGGCAACCTGACTCCTACACAGCCCCTCATGACCTCACATGCAAGAAAGGCTGGTACCTCAGACCAGAGAGGACTGCCTGCTGCCTGTCTGACCCAACCAACACTACCTACAGCAACCCTGCCCAGGATCTCAATCAGCATGGGTCAGCAGGGCAGAAGTGAATTCTATCAGTCCTTTGAGGAAAAAAGTACCACTCCAAGCCCAAATCTGCAGTTCTTCCTCACTGAGGGCTTAAGGTTAAATGAAGCCCACAGAGCAGTTCCACTGTTCTTCATCCCTCTACCCAGCTGTTGCAGCACTCCTGATTTCACACCATGCAGTGGGGACAGCCCTCTCAACCCTGCTGCTGTAAACCCAGGAGCTAAACCAAACTCTAACACTCTGATCTTAAAGTGAGCACCTCAGACAAGTCCTCATCTCAAACACCCTTGTCCAGATGATGCTGGTAGACTCCTGGGTGTAGGAAACACTTTCCTAGGCAGTTTTAGGATATTTCAGGACAGTCGCTCTGGCAGAGCATCTTGCACTGATCTGGGGCAATTCACACACCTTGTTGAGCTGGAACTGTACAAAACCTCTCCTCATCCACAGCTGGTTTACTTGCCCTTTAGCACTTATGGCTTAAACACTGGCTCAGACTCAGCAGGCCACTACCATTCCCAAAACATCTTTCTTTGCCTAAGCCTGCTTCTTCCTAGATGCAAGGCAGGGTGACTCCCAAAGGGAGGTTTCCAGTGCTTCCAACTCTCCACTGCAGTTTCTGCAGCCTAACACGAGCATTTGCAGCCTCTGCAAAGGCTACTCACAGCTCCCAAGGTCCTCACTGCAGAGCTGCTCATAAGGCTGGTCAGGCAGAGCAGCCTCTTTGCTTCAGGGAAGAGGGAAACAAGAAGAAATCCACAGGAAGTCTGAAAGGAGGATCAACACAGAGTTTGTGCACTTGGGGGAAGTTCAAGTACAATTAGGCAGCAATACTGCCTGACTTTAAATGACAAGGTGAAAGTGTACATGGAACTAACATTAGAAAGCAGGCCTTGGATTTAGGATTTTAGTTTAGGGCAGGCCAGGAAAAGACAAGGGAAGAACTGAAGGACAGTGCCATAACAAAAAAACAAGCAAAGGTTCAATGCTTATTGCTAGAGCTGACCACAGGCAAGACCACACCACATTAGGCAATCAGAGCATGTGAAAACTGGGCTTAAAGGTTAGATATGGTCTGTCTAAACACACAGGGATTAATGCAATACATTCACCTGCAATATTAATGCCACATTTTTCCATATGACTGGTTACCAAATAGGGATCTGTCCCAGAACATCATTCCCTCAGTGCTCTATCTGCATTC